CTGCAACAGTTGGACGGCTTGGGCCCGGCCCTGGGCGGCCCTGCCTGATGTTTGGGCTCGTCCTGGAACACCTGCGAGTTCCGTTGCGAACCTGCGGGCGTCGCAATACCTGAGCCAACTTCTGAGCTGCACCACGCATGTGCACATGCAAGACAATGCAAAAACGTACACAAGCAAGATGGAGCCCAGACTGGCTGAAAGAGGCATGAGCATGTCCAGTAACATGCAGTAACCTTCGATTTCAGGAGGGCCTGATTGACAGATCAACTGCTGCCAAGCATCTGTGGTAGGTTGTGACAGGCACCACCTCTCATAGGATTTACCAAACGCACTTACAGCTGTGAGTGTAACTTCACAACCGCTTGAGCAACAGCAATGAAGCGGGAACAACTCTCTGATATTCTGATTTGAACTTGGGATTTGAAGACGACTTGAGACAACCACTGAAGGAACACGACAACAGCAACCGCAGCTACTTCTGGCACCACTCAAACCAGAAGTAGGGTTCTTCGACCGTGTGAAGCCACCGCTTCTCGCAGAAACATGTGTGGTGCAATTGTCAGAACATGGCCCCTACAAATGGTGTTGTGGTATGACATAGCCTTGCTCATAAGACTTTATTCACCGCAAAACCACTACCGCCGTCTTCACATGAAACCGCAACAAACCAATCTTGAGGCTTGAGTCCTGGACGTGGAGCATCTAGAGTGAATCCTCATCCCTTATGGCATGCAGGGAGAACTCCGCAATTACGGTGATTCCAGTCAACAGAATGCAAGGCCACTGGGTCTACGCATAAAGCTATGGCTATACCTGACACGATCGTTCAGACAGATGGCCTGGCCTGATGTTTTTCCCACTCCGACTCCTGGAAGACGAACGAGTTCCGTTGTGAACTCCCTGGTGTAGCGATACCTGGGCCGATACCATGTAGATGCGGTCCACATCCTAAGACATGAAGGTAAATAACTTATGCAGATCGCTGCAGATCTCGCCGTGTAATTCTATGTTTGTGCGGCCCGTTTTCTTGACATAGATCGCAAAAGCAATTCGAGGCATATCATCGTGTGACATTCAAAGTTCTCCCGCCTCACCCCAAACAGTGGGACTCTACTAACACAAAAAGGTGTCCTCCTTCACTTGGTTTTGGACGGTCGCAACAACTTGATGATACTGTATCTCCAAATGCCGTCTAGTTTCTATGGAATGTCGTTGGTGATGTGGGTCCCTGACACGCAGAGCAACAAAACCCTGTCGCTCAACACTCTGTCGTACTCTGTCTATCTTGCCATGTGTTCACGGGTTCACTCAGCTTTGCACTCCGCAAGTTCCTTCGCGGCTACATTTGCTAGGCCCAAATGAGTTCCAAATACTTCGATCGGCGCTGTGAGATCGATCCATGACCTAAAAAAATACCAATGTTTCTCCAGCTGCATGGAAGCTCAACAACATATCCAGCGTTCTTTTCGAAGCTGGAGTTCTTTGGTAGTCTCTTGCAGTGTATTTTGCGGGTTTCTCGTCATTATATATCTTATCCCTAAAGCTAAGCGTGCTTGTGGGTTTGTGTTTGATGGTGACAGTTTCCGCCCAGCCCCAGGGAGCAGTGCCTGGCCTGAGAACATGCGCGGTTTAAAGTTAAAAACATGCCAGCAGCAACTTTCTTGTCCCAAACCCCATCCAGGCGGAAAACGTTTGGGCGCTCCCAATTGTACCGCTGAAGATCCCTTCATTCCTTGCTACATTTTTGGTGCCCAGTTCCATCGCAAGGCTGTATATTCAGGCGGTTTGCAAAGCCGTACCCTCTTTGAACTCAGCAAGTAACCTTTAGAAAGCTGAACAAACCAAATGAGTGGTGCTGCCAACATGTTCAGCGCTTGGGAAAAGCGCGATCCACCACATGAATCAAACCAAAAACATAGTGAGGGATATGAAAAAAGGATCAGCACCAAAAAATATTCAAGAGGTATCAAAAAGAAAAAGATCAAAAAAATATTCACAGCGAAGAAAAAGACAATGGGGAAAGGACAGTAGTAGTAGTGGCAGTAGTAGTAATAGTAGTAGCAGTAGGAGTAGTAGTAGAAGAAGTTGTAGGGGTAGTAGTAGAAGTAAGGAAGTAGGACGGGTAGGCACAGTGCTTCCTACTAAGCGAAGGTTTCTGGCTGCCACGCTAGGCGAAGGTGGGCCTTATCATCCACCTTGGTGGCAGCGTCAAAGCAAAGAAGATAGTAGTTGTGGTAACTGTGGTAAGACTCGTAGTGGGGTGGTCGGAGTGTTGGAGGCACTGGTAACAGCAGGGGTAGTGGCAACTATTAAAAAGCCGGGAGGGCGCAGCACCTCCCCCGCAATGCAAATCAAGTGTGGACAGCGCTGGGCTACTTCGTTTCTTGATTGCCTTAATTGGGAATGCCCTACCAGCGAGCTAGCACCCCACTCGGAAGCTATCTCTCTACTAGGGAGCTACCAAGACTGAAGGACCATAAGACCAGCGGACTAGGAGACCAAGGGACTAGGTCTAGGTGCCCACTGGACCAAGAGACCGAAGGAGCAGCGAAGCAGGAGAGCAAGAGACCAGCGGACCAGGAGAGCAAAGGACCAGGGGACCAGAGGACTAGAAAAAAAAGACCCGGGGACCTAGTCAGGATTATGTTTTTGATACTGCTCATTTTTTAAAGACCCTGTTTTTTCTTTTTGCTCCTGTTCTGATTTTGTTATGATCCTGATGCTCCAAAAAAAACACTATACAAACCCCGTGCAAATCATGACATGATTCGCAATGGCTAGTTTAGCGTGTGGTACTCTTTCTTCGCTGACGATCGCCACCTCGAAAGTCCGCGGGTTCGATGCACTGAGCTTCTCCAGCGCAGCAGCGGCACGGTCCAGGGCCATGTTGATATCCGCCTCCCAGGCAGCAAGACGTAGGAGTCGAATGGCTGACGGATTTACCCTCACAGAGGACATGCGTTCTTGGCGGACTCTACAGAAGCATCGGGATCCTGATTTACCAACCGGCATGTAGCTCGTTTCACGGATCCCCTCTGCATGATACATGTGTTTGGGCGCCAGCGCCCGAACACATTCAAACACCACCTGCGACTGGTGCCACGTCTGTGAAGGCTCCATGGCGGCCGCCTCCGGCTGCAACAACGGTTGCCTGCAGGGAGGCGCAGGAAGCGACAGCACAGAAGAGACACCATACTATCGGGATTTTTTTGCCGAAACCCCCGCTGGCAAACCCAAGGCAGCTACAACGGGGAAACAACACAAAAATGTCCCGGCAAAAGGCCCCAAACGCTACACGTCTACGGTCTAGAGGTGTAGAGGCAGAAGGTCTAGAGATCTAAACGCATTGGGTTGCAGAGAAAGGTGGTGGTGGTGACGATGACGGTGGCGGTGGCGGCGGCGGCGGCGGTGGTGGTGCTGGTGATCGAAGTTCACAAACCAAGTGTAGAATTGAAGGTTTAAGTCCAGAGTTGCGCAGGCCTAGAGATGTCTAGAGATCTAGAGCTGGAGGTCTAGAGAGCGCACATGTGAAAGGGTAAAAAAGCACGCGCATCAGAGCAGGGTTGCTGCGCCCCCACGACTCCCACGAAATCTGCACTTCAAGGCCAAATCCTGCACATCAAGGTTGACAAGGCGCTGTGCCTGCCACGACATCTGCACGTCAAAATTCAGATCGTGCAGCCCTGCCCAGGCCTTTCGGAGCAAGAGCACCTCCAAAGATCAAGATACCAAAGCGTAGCTTTTTACTCGAGACTTCCCTGGATTTCTGAAAACAGCCACATGTCCAAAGTCACGATTCACCGCACCTGCCACGAAATCAGACTGCGCCGAGGAAGCCACCACCATGTCCAAAGCACAGCGCGTGCCACGAAGTGTCCCTTTTGCCTGCCACAAAAAGTGACCAAGCCCGAAAATGCGCGCAGCACGACAATGAGAGCGTAGTCGAGAAGAGAACCCGCGGCAGCCCACCAATTTCTGCGAGCCTGTGCAGTCGAAATATGCACTTCGAAGATCTCGAGGTGAATGAATGAGCAGCGAATTAGCTGCAAACGAGAGCCTCCGATCAGACACCCGGTCTTAACACTTACCGTAAGAACCGTTAGTGTTGCCCCACTGTTTGGGGAAATGTACATGTATGAATGCATGTACGTGAACCAACCCGCTATCAACAATTCAACGATCCCTTCATAAGAAAGAGCTTGTATCCATGTCAGTCATTCATGTTGAAAAGTATGCTACAGCGCCCATGTATGCATCATGAGCAAGGAAAGATTCCCAGCCTCATCTCTTCCACTGGATCCTTGCTCCATGTTGGGTTGAAGTCTGAACCAGTCCCAGAAGGCCTGCAGGGCATCAAAGTTGGCCCGCAGCATCAAGAGAGCAAGGTGCACATGACAAGCGGAAATGCCCAGCAGAGTCTGCAGTACTTAACCGTCTTAACCGCGAACTCCGCAACTCAATCTACTAGTTGCCTCAGGTCTGGTGGCTGCGAGTCTGCCATGGCGACTTCCGGGCAATTATTGGCTGTGGAAAATCGGCGTGATGAAGTGGTAGCTTGGTAGAAACTGCTGGGTGGTCGGCAAATTAAGCCGGTAGCATTCCGAATGATCTATGTTGGGAAATGTGGATGCTGAAAGAGATCCTTCGGCCAGAGAAATGGAACGACCTGTTGGAACGGGTGACCCGGTGGTGCAGCATCTCTCACGTGACATTTATATAAGTCTTGCTGAGTCGAGCGACTGGCTTTCCATGCTTTTCCAGCATATCTCCCACAAACAAGTTCTTGCACGTTCAGCAGGAGAGTTTGTTAGCAAGCTCAAGTTGGAGCCAGGACCGCAGCGGCGTGGCAGACCCTGAACAGTAACACAAAGCCTGGCTGCCCAACTATGAAGGGATATATAATATAGTAGGTTAAAGTGAAAGGATTGGTTAATTGGTTATGTAACTGTAATGTAATCAAGAAACCAAATTCCGTTGCCCCACTCCAGCTTCGAGTTTTCCCCCTCACTGCGGAAGCATCATCGCTGCCCACACGAAGGGCGGCCGCAGCATCGGACTCGCTGCATCTGGGAAGGGGTCGTGAAGCCTTGGACGATGAGATGTTCCCAGACATGGGTGTAAGGCTAAGGCTGGGAAAATCGACTGGAAACCATCGGAACGCCCCCCACCCCGGGTTTGTCACCTTTTCACCCCAAAATGAGAGGTTTCCGGTAGCTTTTCCCTTAAACCACTTCTGGGAGACTGACGTCAAGAAACCCTTAGGTCATACCAACATCGCAACTCTTCATCACATAGCCGGCCTGCCGGTCGCTTCAAGCGTTAGTAACTAGCGATAGCCACTTGAGCTTTTAGAAGCCTTGTCGCCTTGTTGCAGCCAGGACGCAGCTCAAACCTTCAGAGTTTCAAACATCAGCCATGGACAAGAAAGCCAGGATGCATTGCACTGAGTCAAGCTGACTTTGTCGTGAGAATACATGGCGTCTGCAAGTCGGTCAAGTCCAGAGAGGCCAACCCATTTTCCGCTTTGATCAATTGGTACGGTTTCGGACTCATTCCCTGTGGGAATCAAAATCCGGAGCTCCAAGAGCAAACAAACCTGCAAAGAATCCAATTTACAATAGTTCCTGGAAATTCTGTGAACATGCGAGGTGCTGCTAGATGTTTGCCCAGGAACCGAAAGAGTTCGCCAAGCACATACCTTGGTCGTTGTCAATTACATACCTTGTAGCGGTGGATTCTGGCAGATCTGCGGCTGCATCAAATTTGCGTTCGAAAAGGTCAGGAAGATTCCAAACATTATAGGGTGCATGGACAGCAAATAGGCACACACATACACAAAAAAATAGGTATGCATGTGTATATATATATATATATTCAAGTATGTTTGATGTTTGCCGTAAACCTTTGATTGCTCAAGCATGCTCAACACTAGTCCAGACCTTGCTCCAACCCAAAGGCAAAGAGCTGACCATTTGGATCGAAGCACGCACTAGATGGAAAATCAGAGCCGGCCGCCTCTCGTGGCCAAGCGCGACGGAAGGTCACTATAAGTCACTGTTCATCTCGTCCGTACACCAACGCCTAAGGTGCTGGCGGAAGAGGCCAGCGTGGCAAAAGCATGGCAGCTCAGCCGAGAAGTGAAATGTGGACACTTTTCTGGGGACCGGGAAGCCGTGCGGTCAAGAGGGTGCGTTGGCTCGACTAAGGGGGACAATTGGATGATTGACCCACTTGCAAAAAGGAATGGCCGGAATGGCCCACTGTGAGAAGAAAACACACCACAAAAAAAATGAAATACAATCTTCCGGCACCAAGGTGCCAAAGCCACCAGGGTTGGCAATGCTTACTTGGTCGATTTCAAGTTTTGGATCTCTGCCTTTAGCTGCTCAAGCTCCGCCTTTTGGTTGTCAATCTGCCGCTCATCCTGGCGTTGCTGATTCTCCAAGAGCCGATCTGCATTGCTGGGTCCACTGTGGTTCCCCCCCGGAGATCGCATTGTTAATGGCTCCGCCAATCACGGTCCCCACCACCACATCTCCAAGGGTCGGAGGAGGAGCCACCACCACGGGCGCCACACCAATGCCCATCCCCATGGAAGGTGCAGCGACCACCGGAGGTGGAGGGGCAATCACTGTCGTCTCGTTGATCACTGTCTTGTTTGTTGTAGTGCTGGCTGCCGCTGGTGCTCGAGGAGGAGGCTTGCTACGAGCTGCGCTGGCAGTGCCGCCGATGCGCCCACCAGACTTCGCAGCTTCAGCCTCCACTGGCAGCAGCACCAGCGCTAGAGCGGCAATCATAGAAAAGAAGGCGCCTCCGGTGCGCGCGATGCTTGTGGCATTCTGCGGTTCGGTTGTTTCAGGTAGCTCCCCATGTCCGGCTCGGAGCGCCACACTTCCGCTTCTGGGACCCTGGCTTGGGCCCACAAAGGCCAAAGCCGCCATGGAGGCCAAAGCCACAATCATCCAAGGCGAGGACCGAGCCATGGCGCCAACGCGTTGTGATCCTGAAGCCGGTCCAATGGATCTGATTCCGGAGCCAAAGTCTGAAGGTCTGAAGACCTAAAATCGGTGCTTTTGGGCAGCAAGTTCAGCTCTTTGTGCAGCCCTTTTGCGAAATCCACTGCTTCAAATGCATGAAATTGGCCTCACTTCTTTCATTCTACCAAGGGGCTCGCCATCGGCCTTGACTCTGGCCACGACTACATGGCCGTGGTCACCACGTGGCGACGTGCCACGCAAAACGCAAAGCTTCCCAGCACCTGCAATCATACAGTGCAAAAACAGCATGATTGACAAAGGGGCCAACTCCAAGAGCTTGACTGGTTCGACTGGTCCGACTGGTCCTAGACTCCTAGACCTACATCTTCCACTCGGCCAGGGTCGTGTTACGACGGACTTGCAGTTCGCAGCCATCTTCAGCCAAGGCGCCCAGAGAACTAGCATTAGAAGCAAGTGAATTTAAGGGCAAGGACTAGATTTCGAAATCATTGACATGACCTACGTCGTCTTCCAAGGCACATCTTCCAAGGTCGTCCCCTTTCAACTTTCCGTCCTCCTGGGCCACAGGCTGCTGGCATGTGAGTGTTGATGAAGGTGCTCCGAACGAATTGATTGGCCTCATGGATAAGCACCACCACACAAGACTGGCAACCATCCACACATTGAAGCCATGCAAGGCTTCTGGGCTCTCTTGGTGCTTGTGACTAACAGCGACGAACATGCGTTTGGCAGGATTCGACCGCACGGCACACTGACCTGCTAAAGAGAGAGGCCAGGCAAACAAATACTATGGCTACTATGGATCTATGGACTGATATACAAAGTTGAGCCAATGCTATACGGAGGATCTTCTCATTGGGCAATATTTTCAGAACTCTACACCCCGCTTGTCAGAAATCAGGAACCAAAACGAGCATTATCTAAATATTGGAGCACGTTTCGCCACTCGGTCCAAAGAACGGACCCCCGCGGCTCAAAGTGCTCCACGGGTGGTTGCCAGATTTGTTTCTTCTGACAACACGGATTGGTTGCTTTAGACAATTTTGGAGGAAATCTGCATCGGGATTGCCAAGCAAACACTTTGACCATTCTGCGCACATTCTTCGGAACCACGATCACTCACAATCATGGTGTCAGTCCAGCAGTATCTTCTGCAAGTCGAGCTGGCGCGCATGCAGCCAAGTTCTCCATGCTTGCTCCTTGGGACCGACCAGCTTTGGGACGGGATTCCGTCAAAAGCAGTTGAAGACCTCTGGGGCCAAGGATCATACCCAGCCGGATCCTCGATGAAGTTGGGAACCTCCTCCAAGGGCAAACGAACCTCGGCGAAACATTGAGTCCTAGATGAAACCACACCAAGGCAAGCGTTCGAGACTCGTGACGGCACAACTAGCTAGGAGTGTTTCCAAAAGTGGCCATTGTACATCACATGGTGAAGAATTGTGCAAGTCCTGTGCCAACCAGGCAAATCACTTGAGACTGGTAGACAACTATTCTAGGCTACTTCAACTTATCCGATTTATCCCAACTGAAGGGAGTGAACTCTTCCACCACGGGCGGGTGGGAACCAAACCACGGGCAGCAAACCAAACTCCGCGCCAAATACCCCCTGGCTGGTGAACCTAATCACTCAGTATCGAAAAGTCTTGTCCCGTGCTTGATCCATCTTATCTGCGCGTTCCGGACGTCCGCGGCCCAGCTACGACCGAGGCAACGGCAGCTTGTAGCGCGTTTCCCGCGCCAGCGGTGAAGATCGTCTGCTTCACCTTCGGGTCTTCACCACCCAGCCCCCCAGGTGGAGGAAGTACCACATGCGCGTGCGAGGAGACATTCGTTGAGTCCAATGTCCATGCAAGAAACAATTTTTTCATGCACCTGGTCATAATCCAGGCCATCACCCATGTCGAATGGGAGATCGTGTCAATCCGTGTTGACGTTGACAACTGCCTTTGTAATAGTGGATTGGTCGAGTACAACTGGCATTGCATCAACAATCCACATGCATTATGTGTGTGTGTCACCCTTGGAGTCATAGGGATGCTTTTGCATTTGCTTTTGTTTTACAGCAGGGGGTGCCAGGGATGCACACTGGACTGGCACCAACGAAGACGCCAGTGCTGCATCTGTGAAATCAATCCGGGACGCCGGATTGACGTAACTGCTTGGAGAGAAACCTACGTAAAGCACAAGCTGTCTACTTCGTTGTTTCCTTCGGTAAAGGGCTAATGCAGCGGTGCTTTTCCTTGAGTGCTTGGACCTTGGGAGCTCCACTGACCTCCTCGAACCGTCGTCACCCTGTCGTCCGCTCGCTCGCTGATTACCTTTGGGACCTCCGCTGGATGGACCTCCTCTTCTTCCTTAGGTTTCCCTACCTGTACTCTTAGGAAATGGAACCTTAGGCCGGCGTGTGGCACCGCTATCAAGTCCGTACGCATATCCATGAGTGTGTGCGCGTGAGCCTGCGCGCTTGTGACAATAGCTGTCAGGCCGTGATGGCTGGTTGTGGCAATCATGCCAGCATTCCATCTTCAGGATCATAAGCTGTGCGAATTGTGTGACTACAGTATTCAGTATTCAGATTTTGCTTGGACCGGGCAGTGGCGATGTCCAATGTGTCAAGTGGCAAGTGAAGAATACGGCGCAGTATGTCGATAGAGCTGATATATAGAATCGCTCACTAATTAAGCCCTCAGGCTCCTGCCGCCCAGCATGATCAATTCCGGACATGATATAGCGTTGACAACTTGTCCGGACGAACACTTTCTTGCACGACATTCATACCTGCATGCACGCAAAACTTACAAGATACCTAGTTGGGAGCACCACTTCAACATCATAACATATTTGTATACATATACAACAACTTGTGTCACCCTTGTGGATATATACTGATATGCACGATGCGACCATCAAATGTAATGGTGAACTTCACATTGCTTCCAACTTGAACCATTTTTTAAGACTTGGCAGGCCCGCGGCACCAAATAGCCGGAAAATCAGAAAGCAGCCTCAACCCTCCGATCCACACAGCGAATCAGATTGGGCAATTGAGCCGTTCCTGTCAGATTGGGCAGTGTTCATGCCACAAAATTCATACAAGGAAATGCAATGGCATTCCACGGGTCAGCTTCAAACTTCTCCTAGAGAGAACTGAAGGAAGAGACCGGGTCGTGTGTCGCCGAAATGCCCAGGAAACAGCAAACAGCTGTGATAGCTGCTTAGCTCTGAATGGAAGAAAAACTACTTTCAGAAGGCGCACACGACTACCGTACAGAAACTGGGCGGGTCCTGCCCGCTGCGAAAGCGGCACCTTTCGGTGCATGGACCGGGTCTACACCCGCGGGTGTCACAGTGGACACACTTGAAAACGACCCTGTCGGCACATCAAGAGATCAAAAGGCTTGGCTCGCTCTGGGTCTGATGGATGCTGGGCAAGACTGGGCGGTCCTTGGTGACATGATTCGCCCTGCAGGGGAACCCTGTCAATAGGAACACGTGACAGGTTGATCCCCTCTAAAGTCGCAAGCTCATTCGCATGCCTCTTGCTGTCTGCATTGGCCATTCTCTTGTGGCTTTGGTATGCTTTCGGCCCGGTGCTCTGGGCGTGATTGAGGCATCGGAGAAAAACAAGGTATATACGCAACGACCCCGAAAACAAGGCAAAAAAAGCTGATTGATGTCCCTTTGTCCCTCAGCATGCTGGCTGCCCTTCCTACATTCCTTGCCGAGACTCTGGCACGCGCCGCTTTTCGGATGATATTCGGACAGGGATACCAGCACAGGAACGCCCCACCTGTACACGGATCTTGGAGCAGTTTGAGAAGTCCTCGCATTAGCCGCATTTATTAGCCACCTGGTCTCTAGTCAACCTTCCTACTCACAAAGAGATGGAGGGTGGATTTTAAAGTTGGACGCTTACATATTACTTGCTGGTGTGAGTGTGCCAAACTATACATGCATACCATTGAGATCCATTGAGCCTATGAAGCGGGCAAAAGGTTGCATTCAACCAAGTGGTGAGGATTCGCAGCTCTCTCCACACTCTCTGCCAGCCTGCTGATCACCTCAGCTGCGAACGTCCCCAGCACTCTGAGGCCGGGTATAATGCCAAGATAGTTTGAGAATTACTTGAACACCTGCGATACGGGCATCAGGCATCTATGTCAATCTATGTTTTACGTACGCTATATCATGTAGTCTAAATGAGGCCGTGCATGGTGGTCTGAGCCGTCAAACAAGTGAACAAGTATGAGCACCTTCTGCGTTCCCGCATGACAAAGGCTTGTTGCTGGCATGCACTGGCATGGCACCCAGGTCGGTTTGTTTGCAAGGATGTTTTGGGATTGAGAAAATGGGCGCATGAAAAACGCCACACCCACAACAAACGGAGCTTCGCTATGACAACAATTCCATAAAATGTGAAAATATGGGTCCGAGACAAAGCAAAAAGGTCGAAGTCTTGGAATTCTGGAGGGGCGTTTCGGCAACTCTTCGGCAAAAGCCCGGAGACTGGTCTCGCGATGGCCGGGTTCTGAAGCTTCCCTGACCATCGCACCCACCCATGCGACCCATCCGTCCAGGCACGTGCCAAGGGCGACGGCAGCAACGAGGGCATCCGCTCGAAGCACCAGTGACGCTGAGCCCCACTCGGAAGCCCCCGAGAGGCCACATGGAAAATTCGAGGCGGGAGCTGCACCTGCCTTGGGGCGCTTCACCCGAGACCCAAAAAGAATCGAACAGTCGCATGGACAACGGGTCATGTCCCAATGCACAACGGTTGGATGGTCACCTTCCAATTCGTCACGGCTGCATGTCTAATGTCAAGAACCCGTGAAAATCATAAAAGAATCCCGTCTGATCCTCCGATTTCGCCCCGCGCCGTATTCTGCTAAAGTCAACTCAGCCTTGCTAGAAAGAACGGTCAGCTAAGGTTGGCAGCCCTGTCGGCAGGATCAGCGCATATTTAAGGGGTTTAGCGGCGTATGGCGTATGGCTGTAAAGCCACTGACCAACTCACTGCTTTCCTCGGCGACAAACAAGGCGGCGCCCAGTACACTATTGTCAATGTCAAGTTGGTAAATCCATTCTTGTCCAAGAACCGTTCGGCAGCCGACCCCATGCACGAACGAGCAAGGTACATGTAGGCCGTGCACGCATCACCGCTGCTGCCAGGCATTGGCCCTGCCTCCCTGGAAGCGCTTGGCAAAGCTCGGCCATGCACGAATTTGCGAACCTCCCGGAAAAGTGTGACTCAAATTCAGTCAAGGATTGACGCGCACTTCAAACATCAAAAATCTCAAAGCAAGTGAATCAAGAATTCCTATGAATCCCTCACGACGATCACGATCCCCCTTGATCTGGGCCAACTGGTGGCCAACATGCGCCAACGCGGCAACAAAGCAAATAAGCAACCCCTCACGGCTTGTACAATTCTGTAGCCACGGTTTCTGTCTGCTAACCTCTTCTTTTGGTGGAAGCGCATGCCTTAGCATTGCAATCAGCTGGCAGTGTCACACGGCGTATCCTATCTTGGTGCCAATTGCTGCATTCAGATTGCAGCAGTTTGTGGGCAGTTTGTGGCATTTCATACATTCATGTCGCTTGTGATTCCAATGCAGCTCAGATGCACGGGCAGCGGCGCGGGAGTTTGGTCCTTGCTTGGCCTGGGAGGCTGCGCCGGCTGAGCGGTGCCCCGGTGTGCCCAGCAGGACCACAAGGATGCGTGTCTAAAAATGGATCGCCAAGAATTTGACCCCAAGCCTTCGTTCACAGAAATTCTACAAAATGTAGGTAGGAAACGCCTGGACTGCAACTGAGCCGCGCCATGCGTTGCAACGCCTGAGCTGAGTCATTCCGACCATCTCTTGTTCTGCCTTGCCAGCCTCAGTATGGCAAAGTTGCTCTTGATCTCAACCAACTTCTGCCCGACAAGCAGAGACGCCAAATAGAATCTAGAAGGAACCACCCACGCTGGCCAAACTTTGCTGCCATGCTACGGATAAAGTTCCTCACCTGGAGCACGGCAACGACCAAATCAAGAAGATCAAGGGAGGAGAATGTCCGGGAGTCAGAAGCCTCGACGCTTGGATTCTGTTCCTGGCCTCTGCTGCTTCGCTGTGATGTCTTTGCAGCGCATCACCATGGAGCCAGGATCCAATGTCCGCATTGGTGGATGACCAGCGGGCCATGGCACGGCTTTGTTCGTTGAGTCAATCAACACGAGGACGTTTCCAGTGATGTTTCCTTTGGGGGAATCCGTCTTCAACTGGCAACATGTTACAACATGTTACCGTGGCTATGTTAAACACCGCGGGCAACCAGCACGCTGAATGCTGTGGAACATCAAGAAACCTTTCCATGCTTTCTATGCTTCGAGGCCTTCGCCTCCCCTGACCTTCTGCTTGGGCTTGCCAACATTGGTTGCACTGTTGCACCAGCTCAGTTCAGGTCAAGGAATCACGGATGATCAAAGTAAACGTTTAAGACATCTAAGCCACAGAATCTGCGAGCTAGAAACTGCCGGTTGTCGTGCTGAGTGGTTCACATTTGTAACAGCACTCCTGCAACCCAAGCTGTGCTGACCCTGTGGAACTCACTAAACTCCTGCACTCCGGACAGCTTTTATCGAAAATAGAACTCCCAGCTGCAATCTTTGGGCCTCAGCATCTACGACCAGGACCAGCCAAAGCAGAAGTTTCTCAGAGACTTAGCACATCACCACCACGTGGGGTATTAGTTTCGCACACTTAGCACATCATGCGACGTTGTGATGTGGCACAAAGGCATGCGGGTTCATTCAAACTGGCTGGGCCGTAGGAAAGGAGTTCATCAAACAGAAGACCCCATGCTCGAGATTTCTCGAGGCATGCTTGGACAACCTCCACGCCTGAAGCCTGAAGACTTGTATTGAAAAAATGTACTGACTGTATTGTACTTGACATTTAAACGTGTCTGCATGTTCTCTAATACCTTCTCTCCTGGAAGACTCCTCAGCAGGATTGCAAACAGGCGGCGGGTTTGCTGCTCCCTGCGGATCCATTGCAACCAGCTGTTGCCACGTCGCAGCGGCGCGGGACTCGTCTCCACCTCGGCAGCGCCCACGCGGCCCCCGGTGTCAGCGAGCCCGCCCGCCGCTGCCTACCCACGCACTGCCGCCCGCCCGCCTCCGGACATGAGTGCGACAGCGTTGCGCCAGTAGAGCACATTCGCAGGATCAAGTCGGACGGCCTGGGCATTCAGGACGGTCTGACTGGTTCGACGAAGCAACGGTTTTCACTGTGGACTGAGGAAGCACCTGGTCCAAGGCGTTGATGGCATGCTGGTAGTACTCTCGGGGCAATATGCCAGTGATAGCACCCAAACCAGCAGCACAAGCCATGTTGTTCATGGCCTCAATAAAGATGGGGAAGCCACAAAAATCATCAAGAATGGAAGTCCAGGTGGCGTTAAAGCCAGACCATGGGCCTCCAACTATGTTCGTCGGATTGCCCAGCTGAGACGCTTTTGTGAAGGTTGGATTGATGCTGAGTGCTTTCTGAAAGTGGGCGATCGAAGCCTGCCTGGGATGCGCGGAGAACTGCCACATGTTTGGTCTAAGCCTCTAAGCGCACCTGGACATGTGATCTATGCTTGGGTGCATCATTGCATGTCCGCCAAGCGTGGGTACGATTGAGAGACGAATACTTGCAGTGGCTAGATTTAGTATTTATGTTGGGTTGTGGCCGAAATGAGGTTGAGGTTTCACTTCGTCACTTGCAGGCTAGGCACGGCTTCTGCACAAACCAAAGGGAAAGTGCATAATC